ACCTGGCTGTTTCTTTTTAAAACTTGGGTAGCAGAGGTAGAAGGTGGTGAAGGTCAAGAATGTTGAGTTATTCTTTCCAGTATCTTCCAATGATTCAATTCTGTTTAGCATTTTAAATCAGACAAGATGATAATCAGAGACCTAGCAGAGAATCAAGGACTTTTTGTGGATTTTGTAAAAAGTTCAGTTGTAAGTCTCAGTTGGCCCCCAATAAAGGGAATGGTGTCTCCAAACTATGGGTGGTATGTGGTTCAGGACAAAGCTGACATCAACATCATTAAACAGGCAAAGCAGATCTGTGGCCAGATGCCCATGAAGACTTATGCCTCTTCAGACCCTAGGTAGACAGCAGAGGACAGTAGAGGTGAGGAGGGCAGCTGGCCCACTACAAATGGAGAAAGGAGGTGGGGGTGGACAGGAGATCCTGCTTCCCATGACCCTCTGGCTCTGAGGCTATGGCTCTGATGGACACACACAGCTGTAGAAGAGTGAGGAGCCCCTGGACACTAGTTCTGCCAGAAATGAAAGGAAAAAGAGCTGGTCAGATGCAACTAGGTAGAACTCTGGAGAAAACATGGCTATTCCATTTGAGGATATCTGCAATACCAGAGTAGAAGAGGGGTGGAAAAGGAAGTATCTCCTTTCCCTGTCTAATGAAGAACGGTGCCTGGCTCATGGTAAGCACTATGTGAGTGTTAAAAACAGCATACACAAGGCCACACAAGTAGAAGAGGAAAAGGTGGAGAGAGTGAGCCAGCACTCCCAACACTGCAGAGTTAAGAAGCAGCAAACACGACCCAGAAAAAGTCAGCAATGCTGGTGAAATGCTCATAAAATGTCATAGCAGACAGAAGGAAACACTATTTTGTTTGGTGTAATGAAGCTGCTACTCACGTTCCCCTGACCTCAACTTTCTATGTACTATGTATAATTTGACAAAATAACATCCAAATAGTTTGAGTATTTTTCTAATTGATATAATTTCTTTGTGCTATTAAAAACCAAATGGAAAAGAGAAAACTTTTTTTTTTCCTAGATCAAACTAATCACTAATAATGGGTTAATTTATAGTTTGGGGAAAAATTTAGAAAAGATTTAAATGCTATTATGTAAACTGGCTTAAATTTTGATTAACCGAACTCTTTCTCATTGCATATATTTTGTTGTTGTTAGAGCGACACTAAAATCCAAAAACACTTAAGGATTTAAATGTACTTTTAGGAAATAACAAATGTGGTATGGAAAATATAAATAATCTATTAGTTAAAAAATGGAATTCCTGAAAGTCATTGCTGGGTGATTTGAGGTTGAAGCCATCAAGGAAGTTAGATGCTTATGGAGTATATGATTAATAAGGAAAGGATGACTGTCCTTTTGAAATACAATCTCATTCTTGTAGATAGCATGATGTCAGGAAGTAACAGAATGTCAGGGATAACAGAATGCCAAGTTTAGCCCCTTAACATCCCGACAATACCAACCAATAAGTGTTACAGTAGGTACTCAAACAAACACTAGACAGATAGGTGAAGAATGAATGAATAACTGACCAAAATGTTCATTTTATCAAATATGGTTACAGGCAGGAATCTCTCTCCATCTTCACCTTCCCCCTTCCAACTTGTGGCTTAAAATAGCTTTTTGGTCTCTTCTAAAGTTAATGCTAGAAAATAGCATCTCTTTGGCCTTCAGTCCCCACCCACAATCTCACTATCTGTTCTGTGCACATCAAATTTGCTTAATTGCTACTAGTTGCTATTGTTGATCTAAATCTGCCTATACACTTCAATCTTAATCAGTGAATATATTTAGCTAATTAACAAGGGAATCTACCATATTCTAAAGATGCACCTTTTCCAACCAAAAATTTAAAAGCTATTCTGACAGCCAGCCATCTTTCTAACCCCTGATTATGTACATTTGAAGGAGGGAGCAGAGAAATGATACGTAAGTAATCATTTCAAATACAATCATACATAAAGCAGAATATATGGATTATCAGTGGAATCCCTGTATTGAACTATTCTTAAAAATGAATATTTTAGTAATGATTTGGTCACAATTTTGCCATGACCAAGCTAATCTGGTAAACTACTATGACCTCTTGAATAAAAACATGTTAATTTAAATAAAAAAGTTAAGGTAAACTTAATAGAAAAATACAGAAAACAGGGTTTCCAAAAAATTTCCAGTGTTCGAGTCAATTAATATTCTCCACTGCATAATTTTAATAGTGAAATCGTGATATAAAGTATTGGTATAATGCAAGTTATTTTCTAAGCAGTAGATACATTGTTTCTCTTACCATCATATGCCTATATTATAACTTCAGTATGTTTTATTTTATAGAAATTAACCAGATTGACATTTCAGTGAACAAGAGAACTAAGAATGAGATGACATAAAATATAATGTGACACAGGCTGATCCTAGACTGGCAAGCAAAAACAATTCATGCTACCTAGAAGTCAAAGCAGAATATAGAGAGAGCGGCAGAGTATGGATGGCAGGAAGGCGAGGTAACTTTAGGTTTGAATAATCACTGTATATCTTCCAGATTTGGGGATGGCAGCAAATATGCCACAGTATCCATCTATGACTTTTGGTTATCAGTAGTTAGAAAACTATGCTTGTATCAAACTAATAATGTAAACCATAAAAATATTGCAACAGTATATAGTGTCTTATAATGGAAAAGAATAGGTTCCAGCCCCATACCTGGCCCGCTTCAGCACTGCTTCTCAAAGCCACTACCTTTAGTCATTTGTTTCTAACTCTTCTGATAATCTACATTCAAAACTCTACATAATATAATTATACTTGTAGTTCTTAGTTCAAAAGCCATAAACAACATCTACTGATCTCCCATTAAGAAATAAGGACTTAATTCACATTATCCTTTATTATTCTTACCCCCTCCTCCCAGTTGTTATAGTTTTATTCTTTTACGGGCCACTGCTAACTTTAAACAATATACTTCAGGTTCTAGCTGTTGTTCGATCAATTTTTAACTCCATACAACATAAAATAGGCTATCAGTGATTCTCCCCTTCCCACCAATTCTCCAATCCCCTTCTATATCTTAGCCTCTGACTGCCATTTTTACCCCAAATTGTCAACTACCCTTTCTATGCTTTGTCTCTAAGTTGTTCCTAAGAATTAAAGGTAAATAATCTGTTTACGCTGTTATGAATATAAATAGAATATAAATAACATTTGTTGTGAAAACAAGTAATGTGCTAGAATTACATTTCTATTTTTAGAGTTCCATTTTTATAAACTACATCATTTGAAAGAACACGTTACTAGAATAAAGGTCAAATAGATTTCCTTTTCTTAATTTTCATAATTGCTCAAAATCATGTCATATTTTTTGTGCATTCTGATTGGACCATGACCTCATTCTACAATTTCTTACTTTACCTGGAGTTCCTAATTGCTTTCACTTTATTTATTGTTGACCAAATATTCTTTTTTTTTTTGAGACAGAGTTTCACTCTGTTGCCCAGGCTGGAGTACAGTGCAGTGATCATGGATCCTGGGCTTAGGTGGTCCTCCCACCTTAGCCAACCTAGTAGCTGGGACCACAGATACATGCTACCACATCTGACTAATTTCTGTATTTTTTGTATTTTTTGCCATGTTGCTCAGACTGGTTTTGAATAACTGGGCTCAAGTGATCTGCCTGTTTCGGTCTCCCAGCACTTTAGCCATTGTGCCTGGCCCAATTCCTCTTTTTTTTTTTTTTTTTTAACAGTATAATTATATGTTTAAGTTCAACAATAAAGATGAAAGATTCAAGGTTTATTATAGCAGAGTTAAAATTAAAGCAAACTTTGAAAATACTCTTGATTTAAATGCTTACACAAAGATAACCATTTGCTCATGTGGTCCCTTAGCACAGAGACGAGATATATTCTCTTTATATTAGTGACTTTCAGTTTATGAAACACTGCTTGCATATATTATTTTATTTTCTCAATCCATAAAGTAGGAAATATCTTCTCCATTTCACAAAGTATCTTAAAGTTGGAGAAACAGAGAGATTTAGCCAAGATCACACAGCAAGCAAGTTGCAAGTTCCAGATTTGAAATCAAGTTTTCATTTTTAAAAAGTCAGTGTTCTTTGCTTTCACCACAGCTGCTTAACACATGGGCTCTTCCTGCCTTTTGTTTAGAAGTAAAACATCATAATTTTTTATTTATAGGTTTTGTTATCACAACACTCCTATAAGGAAAGCACGATACCTCTACTTCTTATTTATTACTGGATATTATGGGTCAAGATTTTAAAAAATAAACAGTTGAAAAACTGGCAGAACTAAAACACAAATAAACTAAAAGGCCATTACACAAACAGTTGCTAATAACAAACTGAATAGTCAAGAAAGGCCAAAGGTTTATAAGCATATTCTCAGGTAATAAATGAGAGTTTGTAAGGCACGGAGGTATTCTGTACAGCTTTAGTAATGTTGCATTCATATAAAAAGGAAAAGTGATCCCAACAATACTCTGACAAACTGAGGATATCTCACACAAATAGCTTCTTAGCAACAATCCTTGCTTTTGACTTTAAGGTCAAGGCCAACCAGAGACCACTCAGGACAACTGGGGTCTGTTGAAGATGCAATGTGAAGAAGCAGGGGAAGTTGAGCCTAGAAAAGATACACCTTCCAATAGTAGGAGGCCAAAGAAGCAGGTTTCAGCTTAATACCAGGAGGAATTCCTAATAGAGGAAATGTTCACACAGAAATAAAGACAAAATATTAGTATTCAGACCAGGTAGATTCTGGTTAGTTGTAGTTTTACACTCTCTATACAGGTGTAAGGCAAAACCTCAAAATTCAGTTACAAAGTTTTGAACTTCATATTGACTTTTTATAATATACAAGTAAACAGTCCTTAATGTACTTTAAGATTTGATTTTTGACTTTATATCAAAAGAAAATAGGAAGTTTTGCTTTTTAAAAACAATACCTACTTAACAGAAACATAGAATCCAATTTGAGCAACATGAAATGTCCATTTCAAGTCTTTCATCTGTATATAGTTAAACCCTAGTACTAATTTTCTCTTTTTAAAATAATGGAGGGGAATGTGTATAACCCTTTAAAGTAGAAATGACATCTTAAAAGAACATTTGAGTATACCCAAAATGGAAATGATGCCTTTTCATTAGTAATATTATCTGCTGATATTTATTGAGACCTCCTTACTATGTATTAGGTACTGTGCTTAACATAACACATGTATTATCTCACTCATAATACAATTTATCCCAATTTTAAGAGCAAACAGAGACTTATAAAGGTTA